TATTCATATTTTGTGATCCATTCGGACAAAATCTGTCCGAACTGGTCCGATCTTGTCCTAGCAATTACGTATACATCGATTGGCTGAAATGTTCTCGAAAAACAACATAATGCAAGTATAATTGGCTGGTAATCATGTCCCCGGGTCGGATTGGTTATAATTCCGGATACAATGCACAAGTGTATGTCCGCAGAGTGATCATATTCACCCATGTCGTAGGTTTGGCTATGCGCTACAATTTTCATATTAACGTTAACTATTTATCGCTCACGTTTATGTACCGGTAGCAATAATTATCGCCAACGGCCCTCTCGAAGCTGTCGTCGACCATTGTAATTGCTGACGTTACTCGATGATAGCAGTAATTGGTATAGATACTATGTACAGTAGTACTCCGAAGTACTGTACTAGTAGTAGTTGATATACTAGTACACATGTTAACAGTAAGGTGACTAAGCTTACAGTATATCTACCACTTTAAAGCGAAGGATGTAGTCCATGGACAAGGAACAAGTTTCGAGATATATTTGCTCAATGTGCAGTACGTGTACTACTATAGGTATAGTACTTGCGGAGGCATAAACCCCATTCATTCAATTCTTCGGGACAATCCCCCCAAAGATATCTCCAAGGGCACTGACTTCAAAACTTAAAACAATGTTTTGCTGTCGGCATTCATAGACTAACCAAAAGAAAAAAGAAAAAATACCATGACGCAATAGTTATACCCCCCCAATCAGCCAGCGGTAAAACCTCTTCAGCCTGGTGTGATCTATCATTCCCTCTACTGGTAGTACTTGTCATGGACGAGGGCAGAAACCCCCTTCAACGTATCCTCCCCCGAGCCCTCACTGGCGGGGGGCGAAGTTAAGAGCTAACGTTAACGTTACTATGGAGAAATCTACTACTAGTACTTCGAAGTACGTACTGTAGTACCGCGTAACTTGATAATCGCAGAACCGTAGGAATGCCATTCACGGGGTTGATAATAACTGCAGCCTTGTCACAACAAGTGTGCCTTGGCGCAGTTCAACCGGATCTCAAATTCAAGGCTGAGGCTCGGAAATGAAAAATTATCTTGCTGGCAGTGAAACTGTGTTGACGAAACAGCACATTGTATTCCCATGGTCACCCTTGCTACATTGCAGAGAGAAATATTCGAAAAACTCAGATTACCCACTGATGGACTTTTCGACTTTGTAATTGTGGATTTCTCATTCCACACGAGGTCGATTGGTTGAATCTTCTTTTGTTACCCACGAGTACAGTACCCAAAGCAACTGTTATAATTGTAGTAGCGAAGTGAGTTGGGAATTCGGATGTTGCGGTGATTTTGTGCATGGGAAATGTAGAGGTGTGTGGGGGCGCGATGGGCCAGTATAGGAGGCGGTGGTGGATCCATATACAACTACTAGTATAATTATGACTTCTTAACATGGGTCTGGCGATTTGGTTGGACTTTCAGACTCCCGTGGACAGTGCTGGTACTAATAGTAGTATTAGGGGATAGAGCACCCATACCTCCACAGCTTTGAATCTGTTTTGTCGTCTTTTACTACCGGTATCTTAGTCCTAACCTGGTTATTTTCAACGAAACTTCATGAATCAAAAGATGCTCTTCATGATCCTACTGTAGTGTCGGTACAGTACAATCTAGTTTGTGTTCACGAATAGAAAAACGTCTGTGTTCACGAGGGGAAACATCGCTGTGAACTTTTGCCGTACAGTAGTGGTGTTTGACCCTTGCTACAAGTGCCTTAAGATGTTTCAATTTGAGGGCTAACCGCCACAGTACTGAATTCCTATGGCGGTTAGCGGGGCTTCAAGCATGATGATGACAAGGTAGTTTGACAACCATATTACAGTCTGGTCAACACCACGACCAACAATCAGATCAACATTTTATCCACTTCAACTTCGTTCGTTCTGCACTTCTACATACTAGTAATATTGTGTAATACAACACCACAACAAACCAAGCAGTCTTTGACCTTTGCTCACTTTGCAATTGTCGCCCTGCTGCGCCAAAGCATTATGCAACCAACCACTCCAACCAACGACCCATTTGTAGCTATCCCTGCGACCCCCCGCGAACTTAATGCAGTCCAACACCACAAACCATTGATCACTCGGTTTCGTTTGGTGGCCGCGGTCTTGGCTATCTGTGGCGTTGCATGTGTGACCGTGGGGGCCATCCTATTTGCCCAACACCAAGCCAAACCCGACACGAAGAGCATCGTCACCAACATTCAACAAGCGTCGGCGTTGAAGGTCACGTTCACCGCCCTTCGATCGACCATGCAACTCAACGGCAAAAGCCAAGCCACCGTGTACATCGTCCCACGCGTGAGCGACCTCGAAGAAGACGCCGGGTCGGCGCTGACCTTTGACGCCATTCTGACCCAGCCAGGCAACGACGTGACAGAGACATACGTGCTTCTCAACAACCGTGCGTACTGGTCGATGTCTGCTCTCGACGGCACCCCTATCAGGTCGGGGTGCATGGCGCCATCGCAAGTCCCCCCCATCCAGCTCCTTCAAAGCAGCTTGGAAGGGTCGCACGTGGTGGCGTCCGTCGTGGACGGGGACGGAGTGCCCACCGCCGTGAACTGCGACCGCGGCCAACTATTGGAACTCAAGTTTGCAGGCGAAACGTTTGTCCTGTGCAATTCGAACGGCAACCAGCTCACCCATGCCCTCGGAGACGACTTGACGTTCACGGTCGAGTACATTTCCGACCCAACTCAAGTCCCAGACATTGTTGCTCCGTCCGCCGATCTCCAGTGTCCGTTTGTCCGGGCAGCCCTTCCGGAAGCAGCACCTTCGAAAGTCAGTGCCAGGGCCATGTCGTGGGGCGAATTCGTCACCCCTCGAACGTCGTCGCTAGGTCGGTCGTCGTGCGGCTGCAACGGCCCCCGTCGCCCTTGCCTCTTTGTGCACGGTGTAGGCACATCCTCCAACGGCCCTACAGTCGATTCGTTGGCAGAGTATTGGGGAAGCATTCAAGACAACGCCCCATGCTGCTCCAGCACTAAGTTTGTGCAAATGGAGACAGTCAAGCGAGGGTGGGCGGATGCAGAGATTCAGGATGATTTTTGTCGGTTCGCGTTGCAATACGGAACCAACAACAACGGAACGACAGTGGGCGACCTCATTCTGGTCACGCACTCCATGGGGAACCTCGTCGCAGGGGGCGCGCTGGCCACCGCTCGGTGCAGCTTCTCCGGGGGCGTGTCGTGGATTTCGTTGTCGGCGCCCATGCAAGGCAGCAAGACGGCGAATATGCTCGAGCAAAAGTGCAGTTCTGGGGGCTGGGGCGACTCCGTCATTAAGGGGATTTTGAACCTCGTGGGCAAATGCCCCGCCGAACGAGCGTTCCTGCAGCTCAAACACCAAACCACCGTCGACTTGACCTTGCATGATCAGTACGCTGCCGCCCAGAGAGCTCGCATCAACCACCCGGCCAAGAAATTGTTGTGTGGCGTCAGTTCCGTGGGGTTGATCACGAAGGGCTCTGCGTTGAAATTCGTTTCGTCCTTGTCCAACCATGACACGGAGAACGATGGCGTAGTGGACTTCTGGTCGTGCGGCGTGGGTGTGAGTGGGTTTGGGGACAGTACCAGAAATACGCATTACAAGGCTTCGCTGAACCACTTGGACACGTCCTTTCGGAACGGAGACGGGTGGTGGGGCGACAGCCGTAAGCCTGTCAAGTGGTTTGAATGTGCATTGTAATGCAAGTAGCAGTTTTTGTGATGTCGTAGTAAATCCCTTTGAGCATTTCTTGTTGATGGGAAGAGATGAACGAACGGCTAGAAGACCCTCTGCACTGGTTTGAGCACAATTTTGGGCCTGTACATTGTGCTACAACTGCGTTGCAAGCATATGCAAAATACTCGCCGACCAATAGACCTCTTGATTATTGTTTACTGGCAATATTTTAACCAGTGATTGTACATTTTACTATTAGAACAATTATGCGTTCTTGGAAGGATTTTATGACTGGCTATTGATCAAGATACTGGCCGCAAAGAGAAGTGCAGAGGGCAGGACACATTGGACATGCCAAACCCAAAGCGTGGTCTTGGAAAAAACCTTTTTGCAACCATCGCATCCAGCATCGGGTGGCCCACCAATAGAGACCCGGATGTGCCCCATCACACCGTCCAGGGTGCTCGCGCGGCAATGGGCCAACCACTGTGGGCGGTGAGTCACCACCGATGTCCTGTATGTCACACCGTTGCCGCTGATTGTCAAGCACTTGTACCAGTGCCCTGCAGAAGTTTCGGACGAGCGCGATGAGAACACACGCATGATGGACTACTCGATCCCAATGTGGGGGGCAGGTCCCTGATTTCTTTTAATATTACCGTGTAGCGTTTATAGTTTTAGATAGTCTTTTAGTTTTAGACACTCCAAAACGTTATTGAATATAGAGTATAGAGGCCCTCCCAAATACAATCCCTCTTATAATTAATATTATCTCCATTGTATGATAAGTTTCTTATGTTCAATGGTATCCCTAACTTTTTATGATGATCCACTTTTAATATTTGAAGTTGGACAATTTGCCATTATCCGAAATTTCAGAGTACGGATAATTGCCCCGTGGGTGTCTAAAACTATAAACGCTACACGGTAACACTATTTATTTTATTAAATCTGGTCGTCGTCGAATTTGACCACGAAAATCTCGTTTTGTTTGTTCTCAATGGATTCTACCCCCAGTTTGTGATATTGAGCATTAAATTTGGACAAGAAATGACTTGTACCAGTGCCCTGCAGAAGTTTCGGACGAGCGCGATGAGAACACACGCATGATGGACTACTCGATCCCAATGTGGGGGGGCAGGTCCCTGATTTCTTTTAATATTAACACTATTTATTTTATTAAATCTGGTCGTCGTCGAATTTGACCACGTTTTGTTTGTTCTCAATGGATTCTACCTCCAGTTTGTGATATTGAGCATTAAATTTGGACAAGAAATGAATTTTTGGGGTCGCTGGCAGTCCTTATGGTGGCAGTAAAATGAAACAGAGGAAGTGACACTGACCTGCAGTCACTGCTTTCAGAAATCACTCCATCATTCACAAGAGCGTTGATTGGTCACAAGAACTCTCATGAAGCAACTAACAAATGTAAAATATACTATCGGATGCAAATAATTGTTTCAAAGCCAAACATCACACCACAAACACAAGCCTAGGAGCCAACCACCGCACCTAGCAGGCAACCACTCATTGCCCAATAACCACCATGCCCCCCAGAAACGACACATCGATCCCAACTGACGGTTCGAAACATCAATCAAGGAGTGGCTCTGCGCGAGAGTCTTGACCAGTGCTGACCATAAAATAATTTTCTCGTGAATAGATTCATTTTTCGTATAAAAATGAATTATTCTTTTGTGAGGATGGAGAAAATGAATTAATCTATTTCTGGAGCAATCAGAAATACTGAAGTATGTTATTCGAACTTCCAGTGGCAAAAAATAAATATTGGTTGTGACAGAAATAATTCGTGATTACACCTGGCTTCAAAACCTCTCGTAGATATGGATGGTTAGGCATCCCCAATGGTGCGACGGTATAATCAGACTGTATTTTGACATTTGCCATCACTGTATTTTATGTAGTACTAGTACTTTTTTGCATCGCCAACGGTGGAGACGGCAAATAATCCACTTACGAGGCTCGTCCGGTTATGGGACAACAACGACAACGACATAGACAACGAAAATTTGACCCTACACTCAAGTAATCCCAACGTACATAGTGATCCTGACTACCGGTAGAGTTCATGCTGATGAGGACGAAACTGCAAATTTCGAGCTGCACGGAGGGTCAATTTGCCCACTTGTTGACCTCGAAAGGTTCAAAAAAATATCGCGAGAAGTGTCACTCAACACAGTTACAGGTAGGGTAGTCTAAGGCGCTGTTGGTCAAGACTCTTGACCAACAGCGCCGAGCAAAACGCGTACGCTACTAGACTGTTCTAGAGGATAAACCAGTTGACAATCTGGACTCTGCGTCGCCGGTGTTTGACGCTTTCTTCAACGCCAGGGGAGCCGATGGTATCATGACAATGACGAACTTCAGTCCGTCTGAGTTCAACGTGCTGTGGGCGGGCATACGTAAACAAATCGTGGAACGTTGGGTCCGGCCGGAAGTGAGATGTCTTCAACCGAGACATGTTCTTAATGCTTCTGATAGCCATGAACACCGGCGGTTCGTGGGACATTGTCGCAACCATCTTCATGGAAGCAAGTCCGATATTCCAGAAGCAGGTGATGAACTTTGTCAAGGTGTTCCATGCTTTTGTCATACGAAAATATGTCAACGCACGTTTCGTCCCGCAGTTATGCCGACAAGAAGCTGTATTACAGTAGGAAACACTTGTTGTACGGACAAAACGTAGAGCTGTCCGTCTTGCCCAACGGCTTTGCGATCGATTGCACCAAACACTACAAGGGAAGTGTTTCGGACAAGACAATATTTGATGAAAACCTGCATTTTCACATGGCCAGCCTGACCAAGCAAGCAAGCGAAGATCGCATGGATGACCCCGACCAAGCCACACGGCAGTGGGCCGTACTCGCTGAAAAGGCTACCAAGCCATCCAACGCGACATACGGGCAGTCATTCAGATCAAGAAACCAACCGGAGGAATCCTCACGGCGGACGGCATACGCACCAGCGACCGCATCGCGACGGACCGCGTTATTGTCGAGAATTTATTTGGGCACCACAAGCTGCTATGGGCTCTGTGCAGTGTCTGCTACAGTTGGACACGTTAGAACTATGACATTTTGTTCGAAACCTATGTGGCGATGATGAACGTGCACATCCGCATGCGTCCACTTCGCGTGGACGATGGCGACGTGAACGTCCAGTACGTGAACGAATTGAACGCTATTGAAACGAAGACGGTCAAGGGAAAGAAGTCCTCGGCACGTACCTATCGATCTAAACGCAAGGCCAGGCTGTCGTTGATCATGGCGGTAGAAAGCTCAATGGCTGCTGGCGATGCGGGCGGAAGCGACACCAATTTAGGATCCAACAGCGAAAATGAAAGTAGCAGTAGATTGTTCATTTAGGATTATTCCCTATATTGTTTCCGTTAGGCATTGTTTTGGATAATTTCTACGTGGTTTTAACAAGTTGTAATGGGTTAAATTTTGCAGTATTGGTTAATTTCCTTAACAAGTAATCGAACTAGGTTAGAAATAGGTTTTAACCATTAGAAATACCTTAACCTCTTTTGGAAAAGTGTGAGCATGTTACAAAAACATCTTACATTTTGGTTGACATAATTTGTAAATTGTCATAACATCTCTATAATTTTTGAATGCTGAGTACCGGTATATGATAAAGTAAGTGCCTGTTCAGTCAGTACACTGTACTTCACTCTCTGAGTTAGAGGTATAATGATAGTAGCCTATAAGCATATGTATATAATGTCCGTTAACATGATTGCGTGAGTACAATTGGTTCAACGGCGGTGATGCGACCTTCAGCCTAGGTTCTTTTGCAGGTCTGCCACGCCATACCAGCACCACGACTGGTCATGTTCTGAGCTATAGAGTGATCCAAAATTGGATTCCATACAGTAGCGCAAGCATTGCGTGCAAGGGTAATGTTATGAGTGACGAGTTTAACACAAGATCAACCAGATCCTCATTCAGGACATGCCACGGCATCAATGCGCCTCAGATAGTTAACTGTGCTGCGCCATTTCACGGGCGAGGTCGTGCTTAATCAATTACGTTGATCGACTTAGAATTGAATACAAGGCTGTACCTTCAAACACACGAAAATGATCTAACCCTACAATTTATTGACCACCACGTCGTAGTTGCATTGCAATTTACGTTATTAGTAGTGAGCGCATGGACGAATATCGTCGGCTTGGTCACGGGACGGCATGTCCACGGCCAAGGTTATAGGGCCATAGCCAAGGACGGGAAGGTGCGCGCCATTCCCGACTGTAAGATACAGTGCGCAGGGGACATACTTGGAGAAATAATCTCGGTTGGGGATGCATGAGGCAGAGGCGCCAGAGTCAACGATCAAATGTTCTTGCAGAGCAAGGAAGTCGTTTGGACGAAACGTCACCGACATAGGTAGCGGTGGGTCGCCCAGGTCGCTTTTACAGCAGCAAAGGTCCGCATGAAGGGCGAAAACGCATAGTCCACCAACAACTTGGAATGGGGGATGGGGGCGGACACCGTCCACACATCTTAGGGGCAGTTGAAGAACCACCTTGATCGATGTTTCCGACGCCGGGTTAATTATATCAGTGCATGTGGCCGAGTGGGCACTGGGTGGGAACAGTGGAAGAACTACTTTCGTCGGATTCGCAGGATTTGGAATAATGGACGCGGTGGTTAGAGAGGCAGACGCTCGGTAATAAGTACCTCGGCGGAAGGAACTTCAACGAAGTCAAGATCACCGGCATCCACTAGAGATGGGAAGTGGTCGGGTAGTTCGCCTGGTGCATGAGTGATGGGAGCGAGGGTTGTCGTTGCAATAAGGGAGGATCATAGGGGGGGATGCAACGACATCACAGAAGGGGCAGAGCCCGGTTGGAATACCTTTGGTAAAAACGATGGTGGGTTGGGACGCTGAAGGACATGATTGAGAGTAGACGGAGGCACAAAGTGTTGGGAGAGGATGTGGGTGTTGGCATATCCATTGAGGCGAATGCCTTCGTGAATAAGAGGCCGAGCGGCTGCACGAGCAGCAATGTCAACCTGGTCATTACGACCTCCACGATGAGTGCGGTCGTAGCCTTGGTCGCATTGGCGGTCGCGGCTTCGGTCGCGGTTACGGTTGTTGTCACGACTGTTGTCCCGATTGTTGTTCCACCCGCCATTTCCAGGATCATTAGACTATCTTGGTCCCCATCCATGTTGGCTATTAGAGCCCTGGCTGCCACTAGGCTTATCGCGATCATCGCTGTCGTCGCGAGGACGTTGGATACGACATGACGGAGCGACATAATCGCGTTTTCTTTTCTTTTGGGAGGCAGATCCATGTATGTCAAAGACAGTGCGGTCAAAGCCAGGACGCATAGTGTTGCGGGCATAGTCCGACTTGAGGGTAGGGCACGCAGGAAGCGTGTGATTAGCAACGCCGCAGTAGAAGCAGGACTTGCCAGGGTGGTTGACACAGTCACGGTGAGCATAGCTTGGAATAGTGAATGCGTTCAAAACATGAACGGAGCCATCGGTTGCGTAATCGCTTGGGGTGCGGGCCCGAGGCCGCAACGGCATTCGTGACGGCTGCAAGTTGGGTTCGCGTTTGAATGGTAGTGGCAGAGCCGTTGACACCCAGAGTATACGTTTGTTGGAGGCGGTTCGTAATAATGCGCCAAAGAGAGGCACATACGTCAGCAACTACGACAGACTGGATGACGATGCGCGCAGTAGCGATGGAGTTCGTCACGACCTCCCACAGTTCCTTCTCACCAAAAAAGGTGTCGAACATCGCACACAAAGTGTAGTAATTCCAAATCTGGTTCTGGTAGTCAACGGACGAGATCGCCGATGGATCCAGATGGTTCAACAACGGTGGGGACATAGACACACGGTAGCGTTTGATCCCGCGAGACTCGCGATCGGAAAATTCCGGATGACTGGGGCTGAAGGTTTAACGTTACCTGTGTTGTTATGCAGCATCTACTAGTACACAAGATGTGTTTTTTGTATATATTTCACCATCACCATTGCATTACTAGTAGACGTTTTCGAGATCTTCCTACTACTACTACTAGCTTACCAACCATCTCGGCGTCGATGTATGTGGGGATGGAAGAGGCGCTGGAACTTGTCGCTGCTGCAGGCCGTGAAGGTCCATCCAATTCTTCCTCGTTGACGGTGCACGATGATGTAGTCCCCTTGAAGAAGCAGGTGCCGTCTGCGCTTCGTGACGCGGACGCACTGGACTACATGTACACAAGCCCGCTCCATGAGGTTGGGAATGCGGATTGGGAAATACTAAACAATTGACTTGATTATTGTATGGCATTTTTTGAAAATCAATCAATCAGCAGTGAAGCAATTTTCTACACAAGCTACATGCCCGTGACGCGCTTGACGAGACGAATCCATTGCACCAATCAGATTCATTTCGGTTTAGAAAGGAATGAAAATTCCTATCAACATTTACTGTAAAAGCCCTGGTCGGGGAAAGTTTTCGTTCAGGTCAATGCCTTGCAAACATGGACAAATTAGCACGACATACTCTTATGAAACAGCACCTTAACGCACAACATATCATGAATCACATTAGACTCCGTCGTTCGTCAAGACAACCCGGCAAATCGGGCGAAGAAGCAAGTGCCAAGGGGATGCTCTGGTGCGACCGAAGCGTCACATACGCCACGTTGTTCTCGCTGCGGTACAATTCCCCTCTGGCGTCCAGATTCGACTCGAAGTACAACTATGGCAAGCGCGTGGCGTACGTGATGCTGGGGCGGAGCTCAGCGTCGAAATGCAACGTGAATTCGTCGCAAAGCAGGTGCAAGACAAGGTGTGTGCATTTCTCGTACAGTCATTTCAAACCTGATTGACTTGTATTCAAATAGTTTGCCAAGATGAAAACGGAATGGTCCGTGTCGAAGCCAAGTTTGCCCAGTCCAAAGGGGAACTTGTCCAAGCCTCAACTTCCAATGCACTATAATATCATGCTGGAGTACTGTTACCAAGGTGGGGTACAAAAGGGAATCCCTCATGAGCACGGATGATTGTATCGAGGATGACAACGTGGTCGTATTGGATGGTATAAATAATATATATACTACATACTAGTATATATTAATGAGCTATTATATAAAGGCGCCTGGTGCTACTCTGGACGATGTTCTTACTGCAATTAAGGCCCAGTCCGATAATATGACGCAGCTCTTAGCTCATTTAGTAGCGCAAAAAAAGGATTAAGATATATAACTCAAAATCGTTAATATTGTTCACTCAATTACTACACTTAATATAAAATTCGTGCAATCGCAGTGCGCTTCGTCAAAGCTATCTTGCGGAGGAATGGGTTTGTGTCCGACTCCAACTGATCAAACGGCTGAACTTATCGTTGCGGTCGCGACGGCGATTTGGAATGGCAAACAAACCATCGTTGTAGTACAAGAACATGTTATGGAGCACAAAGCACGCAGTCACGACGGTTGTGGTTTGATCGAACGACTTTCGTTCATCACCGTCTTCAAAATTCGAAATCTTTCATTGAGTCGTCCAAATGCACATTCAACCGACATTCGAGTGCTGGAATGTTTGTATTTGAATTTTTTTTGTAATTTAGAAAAATTACCGTGCTCCTCGTAAGCCATGAATGGTGTTGTAGCACTGCGGGAGGAAGCGTGTGTAGTTGAGGGCAAAATAGAGAGTATTCGCAAAGCCATTTCGAAAATTCCAACTCAGAATCCCTCTATATTTTGATTGGAATTGGAAAGTTCTCCTAAAACTAATTTGCAAACTGACTAAACTTTCCAATGTTGGCGCTTGAAGTGGAAAGTAAGTTTCCACTTCACAATAGAAGAGTGAATGTAATTTGTATGGAATGTACGCATTGACGTTGGAAAATTAACCCTCACTTTCATTCATGGACAACACGAAGACATCCTCACTCGAAGGCAGCGACAAGAAACCTTCTCAATCATTCGTGTCTGCTTCGGACGACATCGCACTCCTCAACGAAGTATCATTCTCACGGCCATGGGAATCCCGGCGGTCAGCGGCAGGACTCGCATGGGAGAAGATTGCAAAGAAGCTCACCACCGACACCAGCCTGAGCGCATTTAAAAGTGGCCCGGCTCTACGCAAGAGGACCGAGTTTCTTCTCAAAAAGCATGCAGCCAACGAGCACGCCAGCCTTCGCAAGTCGGGGTCAACGGAAGAGTACGATGTCCGTACTCAGCTACTCACCGATGTTGCCACGCGCATAGCAGATTACGAGCAATACAAGGAAGTACACCTCGATCTTGACCGGCGAAAAATGCAAGGTCTGATCAACTCAGGCGAGGCAATTCGTCAAACGGCCCTGCAATCGACAAGCAAGGAATTCAATGGTGTCTCCAGCTCGTCAAGCGACAACAACAACGATATTCCGCGTACTGCAACGAACAAGAAGCGCAAAGCCAGCACGGGCAAGTTCTGCTCCAAGAAAACGAGGACGAAACGGGAATCCTTGGACTTGCTTTTGAGTGGTGTGTCAGAGGGCGTCTCGAAACTATCGAAAGCGGATGACGAAATGGCGGCGATTCAACGCGAGCGTTTGGAATTTGATCGAGAACAGTCTGCACTTGCTCGAGAACAACTTTCGTTTGCTCGTGAACAAGCATTGTAGCAGAACAGCGCTATCCTGAATCTCAAAGAGTTATGATTGCACTTCTACAGGAATTTGTAGAAAGTAAAAAGCAAGAAAAATAGAATCATTTTAAAAAATTGAACGTATTCTATTTTTTATTTAGTCGTGAGCTGTTAACATCTCCTCAAGCGATGGCGGCTTGCAAATGAAATACATGGATATTTGATTTCCCATCGGTTGCAAGCAGGTGTGGCAGTTGGTTAACAAGACGCATACGATCCACAATTGCCCAATGGGTAATTGCTGATCCTTTTGTGTTTTGCTCCAATCCATGAATGACCACAAGCATTTAATCAAGTGGAAACTCCACTCCACTGCCTCACGTACTGAGCTCATTGACTTGTTGAAATTGTCGGCGTTGGAACCGTGCGGAACGTTGGAAAATGGGCAACACAAATGCGGACGACATCCGTACGCCAAATCGCCATACATCATGTGCCCGTTGAGCTCGGGAATAAGGGAAATGGTATCCAAAATACCGCACATGGACAACACCATAGAATCGTGGAGTCGCCCCCCAACAAGGCCGTACATGGACACAACTAGGCCATCGGGGGCTGTGATGGCCTGCCAGTTCAAACAATAGCGACGTGGGTGGCCATTGTAACAAGCGCGTTGGAGGTTTTCGTATGCGACACGGCTGAACCGCGAGCTGGGACGGCTAATGTAATGTCGGGTGCCGTCAATAAATCCATCGCACGTAGCAAGCGATGCTCCAGCAGCATTAATGACGCCAGCGTAACGTTGATAGCGTTCACGCAAAACAGCCTCGTTAAGATAAACCAATTTGGAATACCTCGTATAAAGGAATGCCACAACTGTTTTGACAATCCGGGATACTGCCCCCGATGATCGACCAAACTCGTTTGCAACGTGGTACATTTGACACGGTTCTGCCAGCCGGCGACACGTCATGGCCAGGGCTTCGATACACGGGACATAATCCCTTGACGACGTCGTAACGGTACTGGGCAGGTGCAATGCCACACACAACACACGTAGTTGCGGTACGGTGAATCTGTAGAGGAACAGGGATGTTGCGTCGTCCATGATATCGGAAAATGCGTTGACGTGGATGCTGAAGTCGGAGGCGCAGATAGTTATGCTCATGGATGAATTGGACAGTGCGTAGAAAGTGCCTGGGCTTGGGAGATGAGTGGTATACGCGAGCAAGGACCACTATGGCTTGCTCGACCGACAACCGCGGAGCCACCACCATTTCCGAGAATGCGTATCCGGTTGTCGTTGATGTATCCGAACTTTCTACTTTGCAAATACTTGATAAGTGTGGAAATTTCCAATTGAAACTAGCCGAGTGAATTGTCAATTTGATAAAAGAAACGACGTTGCGAATACTCTCTAATGCACAATGAATTAACTGAAGGTCTACAAAGATCTCCTTAATCCTCATCACTATGAAATCTTCTTAATCTACTTCACTACTTCTACACTAATATGCACTTTTGTATACAATGGATGCGGGTGCGGTTGAGACATTGGGGAACTTCACTAGGCTAGCGATA